GGTTTGGTTTATGTCATATGTTTCAAAAAATATGAGATTTAATTTTTAAGCCATATCGCCCAGCCCTACGTGTTAGCATGCACCAATGTATACAAAATACTTGACCACTTGTCCACATCACTAACAATCACTAATACCACTGAAAGTCATCATTTTTATTGACTCCTCCTCAACCAACCTCCAGCTCCTTGTCACTGAGGGATCCCGCGCTGCACAGAGACTGGTTGGATGATTCACTGTTGGCTGAACTCTGGGAAACACAACACGTGTATCAGACCTGATTGATTAATCATGTGCGACTCTTATAAGTGGAACTGGAACTTATATTTCACAGATATTCACAGGACAATTTCTTGTAAAACGTGCGCTCATATGAATCACAGAAGGATGACAGCTGTTGGCAAATCCTTGCAAGTAAACTCAGAAATACAAGTGCAGATTTCCACACATCTGTTCTGACAAATGAAACCAGTTGGCATTCGTTTGTTTTCCACTCTATGTATCTAAAATCACTGTCAATAAACTAAATGCTAAGCTAGAATGCTACAGTGGGAGTATAATATACATCCCCCCCCCCCGTGTTAATATGCAAATCTTCAGCTCACGTTCACTTGGTAAAATCAGTCGGTGTCATGCATCGATGGGCAGCTGCACAGCGTGGTGAGACTAAGAAGAAACAGCAGGCTAATTGGAGCAGGAGGCTAATGCTTTTAAGGCCTGCTGGCTTTCTGCTGCTCAAGGTCACACATGCAGCCGAGAACATGTTTCTCTCAACATGTACACTACACGTGCTCGTTGTAATGTACTGAATGGTACCTTAAAATCACGCCTTAAATAAACTCCAGCACCACAGCGAGCAGGCCTGATAATTCACACGCTATAGGCCGGAGCGTGAGTGATTGGCTTTTCAGGGGTTGCCATTTTCTCAAAACGTACACCCACACACAGTAATACCCAGCTGAGCAGCAGGGTTGCAGCAGAGCACGCAGCCTATGCTGTGAGCTTCAGCTGCAGTGCCATTTCAGTGTCACTAGCCTCCGCTGAAACAAAGAGCTGCTGGCCAGCTCCCATGTCAGCCAAAACAGAGCTGGTCTTGTTTTAGCGTCAGCTCGGTGAGACAGGATCATTCCACTGAGAAAACTCCTGAACACAGAGCATCAGTCAGTACTGGAAATAGAGAAGACTTCCAAGCGTTTCTGAACTAAAAAGGACTAACGTAAGAGGGCTCACCAGCTGCTCGTGTTTGCATTCACACACAAACCAAAAGAGGGTTGTGGGATGTTTGCCTGCAGGGAAACTGGGAGCTACTGTTTTGTATCTCCAAATATATTTTATCTGGTATCAAAAGAAACCTTCATTTAGTTTTTCCACACAAAAATTCTCAACAATAAAACGCTCATTAAATTGTATCTAAAATGCAACATCCGCTCAAACAACCTCTACTTACAGCAGCTGATCCTTTTGATCAACAGAGCGACTATTATGCCATTAAGATATACCAACCTTGGTCACACCAACTCCAGTGAAGCGAGCCTCAAGCAGCTCCTGCCTGCGTGGGTCCAGACTTAAAGCCTGGCTGTGAAGTCCTTCCATCATGCCTAGAAAACGAGACACAAACAGTGAATGAAGTTGTAACTCGTGCGGACTAGCTGGCCTTGGTTATTGTTACACAAGAGAAGACTGACATGAAGGCAAGTTGACAGGAAAGACGGACACCCGACAGAGTTGTGTAAGGTTACAGTAGTGGCTCGATGGTTAACTTAACCTATTGGACCTGCAGTACAAAACTGCTAAAGATACTGAACCCTGAATAAAAAGAATAAGGAAAAGACTATCAGACGCTGGTGTATATGTAACATTAGGTCATTAATGTGTAGTATCTCCATTGAAGTTCATATTGTGTAGCGGTTAAAACTCCTAAATGTTCGGCTGAACCTGAACCGGTGTGCAAAGTGGACATTCAAAGATCATAGAAGAAAGTGAATGATCAAGGCGAGCCACTGAATCTGGACATTACTGGTGGGGGAGGTAATTCCCCACTGTCATTAAAGTTACATTACTAATTTAACAGTTAAGTCACAGAGACAGTAAGGCCAAATGGACAAAAAATAATCTCCCAATTTTCCCTTCCTTATAAATGTCTATCATAACCACATGAAATGGCAGGGCTCGACTTCCTCCTGCCATTAGCTACTCCTACCTGAGAGGGTATCCATCAACTAGTGATGGATTTATCTGGGGAGGGGGGGTTTGATGGCGATGACAGTCACTCAAAAACAACAAACACAAACAAACAAATAATGCAACATTACACTTTTCTTCCCCCAGGCAGCCAACGTTAGTTCATTTAAGCCCAAACAACCCTTTCAACACAATGGTGATCAAAGGTTACTAGAAGGAATGTGCTCATCTTCACTTTAATGACAACTTTATTCAACATCGCAGTTAAACTGACGTTATGGCAGTTGGTGGAATTCAAACATCGCAGTTAAATTGACGTTATGGCAGTTGGTGGAATTCAAACATCGCAGTTAAACTGACGTTATGGCAGTTGGTGGAACAACCGTTACGATATTAACTGGCTAACGCTAACGAGCTAATTAACGCTGACATCTGGGCTGCTTATCAAAATCTCTCAACATTTTAATAAACACGACAAACGCTGTCATTCACTGTCAAGTTATTACCAATTAACAGTGTAATTTTTTGGTCACTGTTAACAGCTGCTATGTAGCTACTGGTGAGTAGCTACATAGCAGCTATGGCTAGATGGTAAGTTAACCTAAACTAGCCAGCGTTGGTTATCTAGCAGGCTAAGGCTAACATAGGCTGCAATACAAGTCTCACCTGGAGAACCTTTCGCGGTTTTCGCAGTCCTAGAAATGATGTTGTCCGTCCATCCGGTGACAGCAAACTCCCTAACAAGTCCCAGTCCCACACACCTCAAATAAAGTTGTTTGAAACAAGATATCCATTTAAAAGTGTGTCGAATTCAGGGAAGACATTTGTTAGCTTAGCCAATGCTAGCTGGGGAGAGCGGTGTGGCTGTCTCCTGCTGGTGTCATCCGGACAGGAGGCCCTGATCCTCGGGGTTTCCTCGTCCGTCTCGGTGCCCCTGCACGGGCAAACCTGGAGCTGTCACTGCTCTGAAGCGTCTTAACAAAGTGTTGTCACATTTCTGCTTCACTCGGTCTCTTTATTGTCATTATCGAGCGCAGAGAGGTTTACACCGGGAGGAGTAGTTCAGCCACCTTGTTAGAGTCCATTCTTTAAGTGGTAATAAAAGACCATTACCCCCTGCAGCAAGGCCGCACAGGGCTCCAGGGAGAGCTTTATGTGATGCTTCCCATTCGCTTGTTTAACAGATAATGTAAGCTCCTCTGGTCAGAACCACCCGAAAACAGACAGCATACTGTTGGCAGGGCTTGATTACCAGCCTTAATTGCATATCTGGCAACTGTCCGAGGCCCCAGACCTCTAAGGGCCCCCAAAAGTTCCTGGTTCATTGTGTGCCAGTTGTTTTTGGGGTTATTTGACAAATTTCTTTTGGGAATGTACACCTTTAAAGTACAATTATTTTGTTTCGTGTAGGGTCACAATATTTTACAGTTATTTTAGTTTAGTTTTGCAATATTCCATTTAGATAAATCAAATATTCTAATCTTGCATAGATGGTGCATGTTCTTAAATAAAGTTACCACAAACTAACAGACAGTTTCCATATTTCAGCACAGATACTGGAGCATGAACAACACATATAGACTACAACAAAAAACTTTTAATTTGCGTTGAGTTAGCTTCTGTTCTTTCTTTTCTTCTGCATTAAAACTTTGCGTCTATTACAGATTGAAGTTTCTATTAAAATGCAACACTTAAGGCGATTAGAAGATGGTCAGTCTTACAGTTTTGTCCTCACTCTATAAATCTCCTGTACGTGGCCCACAACTGTTATGTGTTGTATATTTTCCTTTTTGTATGAATGTAATGCATGTAGCCCTCACACAGCTGCAGGGATTATAAATGCGTCTCCAAAATAGGCGCTGCGCCATTTACGCACGAACACCGACTTCATTACTTCTTGTGTGTGCAGAGCTTTTTGTCTGCACTGCTTGGGCCCAATGCATTTAATATGCAAATATCCTGCCCCTATAACAGGAATAATTCATCTGATATATTTTATCTTGTATATTGAATAGCGTTAGTGGCATATACTCCGCACAAGGACCAGTCAGTGACTTATACTTGCAGTTTAAGTCCAGGAGATGGAAGCAGAGCTTTGCAGACCATAAGCTCTGCACGCTTGTCGTCGGGATGGAGCACTATAATTTAACTGTGTTCATAATCTATCTGTGTCTTTAGTAAATTTGTGTAGTGTAATGTGCTATTTGGAATAATTAAACGTGGTCATTAACTTAAAAATCCTTGTTGCCTTTAAACCCCCAACTTTTTCCTTATGCATCAGTTATTTTAGCCCTGAGTAGGCGGATTGTTTAACAAATCACCAACAAATGTATGTCTACATGAAGTAATAAGAGTGTAATAAAAAGCTTATTAAAGGCAACAATGTCACTGCAGACAATGCATATTGCAGGAAACCACAACTCCGGTAGTCTGTCTTGGTGAAATGGAGTTTCAGGATGCTCAGCCTCAAATTATCAAGCAAGTATTGAACTTTTAACACAAGGATGGCAGAATTAGTCACTGCTGTAACTTCATCAGTAATTTATAATTCACATTTACTTATCATATAAAAAACTATTAATACTCATAAAGCGTCATTAATTTGTAATCAAATGTCTTGAGATCTAATTCCTTTATGTAATAAGGCTCTTAAATTATCTTTTAAACTAGGTTTTGTCTTTCATATCTCAAAACTGGATACCTCATGTGGTTGCAAAGTTCACCACAATAAAAAAAAGTCCCAAATTCTTATGTTGGGAGAAAAAAAACATTTGTAAAAATGTCATACATGTGAGAAAACACTACACAGGAAACTGCACCAGTTTTCAGTAAATTAACAGTTTACTCCAAACCACATATCTCCAGCATGTCACTTGACATAATTATAGACAGTTTATCTTGTCATAGTGCCACTGAATACCACAAACAGGAAATCCCATCATTGTGATAAGGAAATTAAGTTTGTTTTACGTTTATCTGCCCTTTTGTTTCCCCCATTGACCACAAGGGTAAGTTTAGCCACATCACTTTTTAATATATTTTCCTACTTAGCCTCAGTGATATCCAGCCATGTGGATAGTTTTGGTTTTATCTGCCTCTGAAACAAATATTCAGAGTAATCTACAGATCTTGCTGTCAAGATTTTGATACTATTTTCCACCAAAGGTATAAAAATAATGAAACTGTCCACAGCAAGGTCTGTGGGTTAACCAAAATATTTGTAAGAGATGTTACAGTTGCCCCCAAGATATCTAAATGCGTGGGCAAATAAATAAAAACTAATATACATGGCAGGAGGTTGTGGGTAGGAGAGAATGTTTTTTTGTGATTTGGGTAAACCTGCTTTTTTTGTCAATCACACAAAATGAAAACAATATTATTTATTTATCAGTGTAGTATAAGAGGGTGTTTATGACAAATCCCTGATAAAAATGTGTCCTCAGAATCATTTCTACATATTTACAAACACAAATAATTATTAATTATTGTCTTGTGACAGTAGAGACCTGCACATGATTCGGTGCCTTCTCACAAAGGACAGTGAAAGTCCATTATTTCATCCTTCTTTTTTGTTCAGTAGCATCAGTCTTTTCCTCTGTATGTGATGTTCGTGAAGGTAGATGTGGCTCCTTTGTAGAGAGGATTGTGTCCCTGTTAACGAAATACACATAGAGACATAAGTTAAGGTTAACAGAAAATTAAAGTAAAACAATAAATACTCCATTTTATGACCTACCTCGTATTCTGGGATCTTATATTTTAGAGACATATTAACTTGAATTCCTTTTGTTTTCACTTCTGTTACTCACTGAGCATCTTAAAAACTACCACGCTCATTTGCGGTTTTGGGCCTTTGGGATTTGGGTGTGTTTTTGAGGCCTATTACCAGTAAAGGCTAATTAGCGTTAGCTAATTTAAACCCAGCCCTTCCGTTGGCTGCCTTTTGTTCTGCGAGAGTAACAGCATGCCACAAAATAATAAAAAACATCTTCAGAAACTGAGAGCGAGGGACTGCGTGTGTGGCCTTTTTGTGTGTGAGCGTGTGTGTATGAAGAGGCAGGCGTGATTGTGTGTGTGAGTCCAAGGACGGGGGTTTTGGTGGAACCACTGCCTCAAAAAGAGTATCTTTATTTTAGCGTGTTAACAAGCACACACGCCGCCTCGTGCTAAATTCACTGACCGTGTCCCACTTGGCACGAGCGCGTTCTTCCTCAAATTTGGCGAACTCCCGTCTGTCATGAATGGTGACCAGCAGTTTCCAGATAAGCAGAGCCGCCAAGCCAAGGAACAAGATGGCTCCTGCCACTGACATAAGCACCACCAAAATGTCTGGACCCTTGGGGCAGTCTGGATGGAAGGAGGAAGAGATAAAGCAATGAGTAAAGTGCACACAGAGAGGAAGATAAGCTGGGAGCTACGCCAGAGGAAGTATGATTTCTTAATGCTTTTTCCTCCCTATCTCCTCTTTCACTCACACGGGTTTGATGGTGCTTTTGCTGCAGCCCACTCCTCTGCTAAATGCTATGACTTTTGAGTTTGAGAAGACACCGTCATGCTGGTAATATGGCATAAAGCCCACTGGCTGGTTGGTTCAGGAATGCTTTCTTAAAGTAATCAGATTGTTTTAAGTGATGCAAGAGAACGACAATGGCGGTGGTGATACCAAAGAGCAAAGAGGAGGATGGGCCGAAGTGGAAAATAGTACAGTACAACCTCACACAGCCAGGCCACAAATCTCCCTCCCCTCGTTGTGGTCTGGCAAAACTAAATAGGAATTTGATTTGCACAGTTTCAAGAAGGCTGTACAATAGATGACTGACAGTACTCACTTTCAAAGAGTCAGACTGAAATAACACATTACTTGTTCTGCTCTCCTCAGTCATTTTTCCCATCATTAGCTGTTCCGGAAAACTCTCTCCTAAATTAGCCATCCAATACGTTTCTGAATAAACTTGTGCGTAAACAGACTATGCCCTACTGAATCACTCTTCATGTTATGTCTGCAACATCTAGTTTAAATGGTTGTTTGCAATGTTAAGGAGTTTCAAGAGGAAACGAGTCCCTTCGTCTTCTCAACACTCTCATTAGTTCAATGATTAGTTTGGCCTCTAGTTTCCAAGTTTAACTGATTCTCAACGGATGTTTTCTAAGCTAAAATCTTGTTGCAAAAACGTATTTTCTCAGTCAGCATCTTACTAGGAATAATTGAGTCTACATTTTCAGTGTTTTTGTTTTCTGTGCTCCTCTTATTGTTCCCGCTTATTGTTTTGTAGTGTAGTCAGTTGACATTTATTTTTATTTTTGTATAACAATCAGAATTTAGTCGGTTGATAAAACCACACTCCACACAGCCAAGATGAAGCAGATTAGCAGAGTTTTAAGCTGTAAAATAAAATTAAATAAGACACTTCCTGAAGAAATATTGGGCTTTGTTCACTAAATGCACAAACACTTTGTTCACCTGCTAGGTAACTGTGCTCATCTGAGTTTTGACGCCGGGTGGCCTACAGAGAGCTTTTAACACTGGCTGAAAAAGACACAAGAGCGGTGAGAGTGAACTAAAATTGTAAAATTGTGGGCTACAAACCAAAACAATTTGCTGAAGATCACTATTGAGCTCAGTAGAGCTGATAGAGGTGAGAATTGTCTATGGGTCTACCAGCAACTTCTTTCACGTAAGTCATGTGATCTGTTGTTCATATAAAAATATTCATCATGGCCGCTTCAGTTTTGATTGCTGCACATTTCATAATGCATATTTAAGTTATCAAGAAATATATATAGGTTTTAAAATCATATTTTCGGGAGCTAGACTTGCCTTTAATATCATTGCACCACTTTTTATTTGCGTTCATGGTCACAGGGAGCATGAACTGAAGTCTGGCAACAATTTTCTCACTGTTGGCAAAAATGTCTTACCTTTACACTTCTAGCCACCAGTGATAAGAGCCATCTGGTCTATGTGTGTGTACTTGTGGGCGGGCTGGATGTATACATCTAGTGTGCGTGCTTGCATGCAAATATATACAGCATGTGTAGTGTTGGGTAACAAAGCTGTGCAACCAAGGTGAACTTTTACAGCCGACATCAAAGCTTCACCCCTCTTCCTCTATCCTCCTTCCTATTTCCCTCTATTTCCTGCTCTTCAGCTGACCCTTTTGATCCCTACAGCGGCTACCCTTATGGCTTATATACAAACCATGTATAGCTTATTTCTCCATCATTAGTTAGTGCAAAAATGCTTAGTCAACTTTGTTTTAGGGTGTTTACCATTTTCTCCACCTCTTTCTCCTTCGTAACACAGCTTCATGTTTCCTTTTTAAAATGTTCTCTATCCCTCTCTTTTGCTTACTTAGTCTCCTCTCTCTCCCTCTCCTGCTTTGCTCTTGAGTATATGTAGAGTCAGCGGGTTCCGAGAGGACCTGGGCAGCTGTTTACGATCCTCTTTGACACGGCGGGGTGCACTGTGTTCAAGGCAAATTTTGGTGTACTTCTCTGCTACCCAGTTGTGCCTAAATTAAACACACACATTCATTAAAGGCATACCCAGGGACAGACTTTCTCTGCGGGCACTGGTGGTCATTAAAGGCTGTTTTACCGCCCCACACTTTTTCTATTTGGCCACTTAACAAGCAGATGAAGGGCATGCAGCACGGAAGTGACAACTTGTACTTGTACTGTAAAATTATTTCACAAAGCGAGGAAGTTTGCTAGATCTAATATATATTGACTGGTTTATCCTTGTTATCTATGCATTACTTGCATTTACTGTCTATCTTTTCCACATATAATTGTAACCATATTTATAAGTTACAGTACTTTTACATACAATAACAACTCTCCGCTCTGCCCAGGACAGTTACTGAATTTTTTGGCTACTACAATTGTCTGATTACACCATGGGTGTATTATACAGCGTTGGAGGCAGGGCTCCATTCCTTGTTATGTAGGCTGCTCAGTGGAGCATGAAGCCAAAAAAGTTTTTCCAGTATAAAATTACCCAGATCTTCCGCATATGCTCCCACATTGTGGGGCCCAAAGAGCAAGCACACTAGAGACTTCCGGTGGCCGATTTATACTCCTCTGTGTTCACCAGCTAATTGCTGACTTCATTTGTTCCGCGTGGTGTTATTCATGTTTTGACATTTATTGGAAGGATAAACCCCTTGAGGTGAACCATCTTGTTTTCAAGGGGGTCCTTAGGTAGTGCTGTGAAAAAGCTGTTTGAAAATGAGGTTCCTGAAAACCGAAAGAGGCAGTACAACCAAAATAGAGCTTAAGACAACTGCAGAGTTTGGTGCTAATTCTCTGTGGGTTCATCACTAAGAGCAGCTCTTTTCGTATTACACTTATCACGTATCTGTCTTACCTGGCTCTTTGACGACAAACAAGATGGACTTGCCACTGGCGTCCTCATAATACTGGAAACGCTGAATGCAGTCATCCTCATCTTTGTAAGTGCAGTTTACAGCATTTGTATCATGAAGCACTGGAAAATCAGAAGAAAATGGTTCATTAGTTAGTTAGGAGTTATGTGTCTCTTTTTATGTTTTTAGTGTGACTGACCTAAAATCTGTAGAAAGCAGCATAACACACACATTTTTGGGTTTGTATTTCTATAAAAGGCAGCCTAAAACTACTTCACATTACTAAAATGGCTTCTCACACGTCTATAAAGCATTAGTAAATTATTTATTAATAAAAAATAATGCCTTAGTTACTACTTAAAAATCCCGTATAAACTGTGCCTTATTAGAAAGTGGTACCAAAGTATTTCTGTCTTGAAGCAGCTGGGTGTCTCACCTAATTCATCCACAAGCACAATCTCATCTTTGCAGATTCGAGAGCAGGTATTGTCCTCAAACAGTCTGCCCCTCTTGAAGTACTTACACTCCACACACTCCCTTTAAGAAGAAAAACATCAATCAGCTAATATTAAGTAACTGTCTGGACACTGAATATGAGAAGTCTCTGTGTGCAGACTCACTTTTTCATAGTGCAGGCATCAGGGCAGGTGGGGCACTTGTCACATGTGGCTCCGTAGGCACCTGGCTGCGTGCACTCACAGGCCCCGCACACACACTGGCCCCTCCCGCTGCACAGCAAGCCCAGGTTGGACATACAGGTGTCAGTACGTCTGGAGCAGTTACAGTTCTCACCCTGCCAGTCTGGTGCACACTGGCAGAAGCCGCAGTTACAGACGCCATGGCCTGGGAGGGAAGAAAGGACAGATAAGGTGAGAAAACCACCGTTTATAACTTGAACAACGTTTTGTGGCCACCGTAAGTCTCTCATTCGCCCTCGGAAGCAGATGTTGAAACGAGTGAGTTCCTGTCTGCAACTACACCACTAGGTGCCACTAAATATAATACCTACATTGAGCAAAGTATGCAATTCAAGCTGCCATTCCTTTATACTGGATGTGTGTGGCGACAAAGCCACCAAAATGTTTGTGGTGTTGAAGTTTAACATATTTTAACATTGTTTACTAGTATAATTGCCATTTTCACAGATGAAAGAGTGAAAAAGAGTAAGCAAATAAACAATAAATAAGAGCAGGACAATGTGACCAAGTGAGATTGTGTGTGAAACTGAGGGTGTGGCAGGAGTTTGGAAAGAGGGAGGAAAAAGGCTGGAGTGCTTAGTGGTTAACATGATTGTAATTTCAATTGTTGTGCATCATTTATTTTAAACAACATGAGTCTGACAGGCTAATATGAGTTTATATTAAGTTTTTAATAACATGATAAGCAAGTGCGAGCTCCTTAACATACAACTGTATGTTAGGGTAGGGTCAGTTTTCCCTTTTTTTCTTAATATATATTCAGTATCAGCTTGTTCTTACTGTTCATTACAGGTCTATGATGAGTGAGTTGTGTTTTTATGGCTTCATGACTTCTTAACATGGAAATATTATGCAGCATTTGACACATATTACCGCCAAATTCTGCCTGACACATGGTGTATCATTGAAAATTTTGGGAAGAATTTGGGTCTGTCACCAACATTACAGTCTGTTGTTTTCTGTAGATTCCTGAAAACACACTTTAGACAGGAGTTTGGGTAACATACAAGCATTACTTCTGCATTTTATGTATTTATGGTGTATTTGTTTATTGTGTTTTATGTGTGTGTGTGTGTGTGTGTATATACATATGTATATATGTTTTATGCTTTGCCTATGTTTGTCTGTGTAAATGTGTGTATACATGTGCGCACGTATACACACATATATACGTATATGATATATTTACACTGCTTTACTATATTATGCATTGTGCCTCCCTTTGTTGTTTATTGCCTTTTGTTGTACATTGTCTCTGTAAAGCTCTATAAAAATACATTTACTCAATTACTTACTTAGAGTTTAAAAAAACGTTCTGTGGTTTGAACAATGTTAGGTTGGTCAGCATGAGTTTGTAATGACATAGGTCATAGCTTGTTGAGTGGTTATGAGTGTATTTACCACAAGCCTGTGTCATACTTTTCTGTATTTTCCTGTTACCATGACATGTTTGAACTTTTTGAACATTTGAAAAACCTCTCTAAAGAAATTTTCCACCTTTGCCTTGTCATTAATGCTTACATGTTCAAGGCCATTGTTCTGATGGCTCATTATACCAAAATCCTCAACAGTCCGAAAAAACTGGACTGAAATCCCATTTGACTGTTTGTTTTTCACCCATTAACCTGAAGTCCTGTTTTTCCACAAATACACACCCTGATATCTGGTTGATTTTGTCTTCCTGCACAGCCAAATACACTAAGATATTAAGTGAATAACACATCAAGGTGTATTTTGGTTATTTTGGGCTGCAGGACAGTCTCTTATTGAATAACCATGCTGGCTAAAGTCAAGTCAACATTACACAGTACCAGGTTTGTGTTTACAGGTGGCAAGTATATTTATTAATTCATTCAATTATTCATTATGAAAAATGAGTGTTATGTCTTGCTAAGACATTTTGTATTTCCGTAAGTCTGGTTCTCCTGACTGTTAGTCCCAAATACTGGAAAGCAGGAGTGATAAGTTATATTTCTGCAACTGTTAGAGACCTAAAACAAATTTCATTGTGTGCCCTGTGGTGTCTGGAGTGTTTTTATTTTTGGCTGGATGATCCACTGTGTGTGTGTGTGAGTAGTTTTTTTGTTATTATTGTTGTTGTATGTGTGATGTGTGTGGGTGCATTCCAATAAGTAAATGACAATGCAGAAAACATTGTGGTCTATCGCTGCAAAACAATGCCCAGATAAACAATGAGACAGGAAGCTGTTTGTAACAGTCTAACTGGATAAAAGATAAACCATGGACAAACTGTCATTACCACTTGACCACAAGACTGCTGACTTTAAATTAGACCATCCTTTGGGGGAAGAACATAAGACTATTTTCCTCGCACTGAATAAGGTATTTCAAGACAACAGCAGACCATGTTTTACACACACGGAGCACACAGAACATTTCCAGTTCTCCCCCACTTGGCCCTTTTCTGACCAAACATGGGTTTATTTTTAGCCTCATTACACCACACTAGCCAATGAGTAAGTTGAAAGGTATTTTCATGTTAATCTATGGGCTGTTGGGACTACAGCAAAACATTTTTCTGTGAGTGCAACAAAGGGGGGGTTTGAGTGATATATGAGATCAGATAATGTGATGAAGCTTGAGGCAGCAAGCGACCTGTGCCAAAACTGTGCTCAATGCAATTAACGATGCTCAATTGAAATAGAAATAGAACAATGTAACATTCTGTAAATTTTGATCTGTGATCCCTTTTTTTGGTCATTTTCTTCCTATTCTTTCTTTGTGTCTCTCTTTCTATCGTCTTCTAACATTTGAATCCTGACAATATTACCAGAATAGTTTAAGATTTAGGGAA